GTTCCGAAACAAGGAAAAACAAGCGCATTGAGCCATGAGCATTGCAAATTTTAACAAGCAATTTTAGTTGCTGCGGTATCTAAAGGATACAGAAAACTACGGTTTAGTGTATGAGAAATCAAACAAGCCACTGATTGCATATTGTGACAACTTTTACTATATCGCCACAAAAATAGAAATGCACTAGGCATACAATTAAGTTATTATTAATGTAAAACTAAAAAAACAAAAAGAAAAATAAATAATAGTAACACAACAATAGAATTAAGCTATTTTTAGTTAATAAAACAAAAATTGTTTATTATTAGTTAATCTAAACTCATAAAAAAAGTATTTATTATTAGTTAATATAAACTCATAAAAAAATGTTAAATAAAATTAAGGTCTTAATAAGTTAATATGAATTATTTGAAAATTAAGGTATTATTAAGTTAACATAAACTTGCAATAGCATTAAGTTATTATTAGTTTAATAAAATTATTAAAAAAATAATCCTCCGTGAAATATTAATTAAGTGGTAACACTTCTCATTTTTTTGAATGTCATTTATTTTGCCGAGTTTTTAATAAATGTGCAGCAAACAACAACAGCAAACATAGCAAAACCAGCCGCAGGTATTTAGAGTAGGCAATAACAACTTAGGGGGGATGGGATTGAACATACAAGGTAAAGTGTCGTATTGCATTTAACATGGTAAATGCCAGCGCGATCCTTGTCTACTGTCGGAAAGTTCAGCCTTCACACAAAAACTTCTGATAATGGAAGAATGCTGATTGATTTCGCCGCGGCTAGAAACATGGTGGTTAGTAGTACCAGATTCCAGCATCTCAACATACATAAGGCAACATGGCTGTCACCTGATCAAAACACAAGATCTCAAATTGATCACGTTGTGATAGACGGAAGGCATGCTTCCAGTGTCTTGGATGTACGTACTATCCGAGGAGCCAACGTCACTCGCATCATTACCTTGTTGCAGCCAAGATCCGCAAACGTTTATGTGCGATGAAAAAGGTACGTGAACAAGCACTGCGAAAGCTAGACGTCGAAAAGCTGCAATCACAACAGACAGCTAATGACTTCGCTACTCGACTCTCCCAATATCTGGAAAATTCATCTGAAGAAGCCGATATATGCGCGCAATGGAACCACATCTCCAACTCTATGCGTACCGCTGCAGAAGAGGTGATCGGCTATCACCGTATACAAAGAAACAGCTGGTACGACCAAGAGTGTCGCAATGCTACCGCAGAGAAAGACGCAGCATATCAACCCTGCGGTCAGTTGAGAATGGAAGAGAAACGTCTTTTCAGGCGAAAAAAGAAGGAAACAGAAAGACGTGAGTACGAAGAGCTTGAGAAGCTAGGCGACAGGAATATGGCTCGAAAATTCTATCAAAAAATTAAAAGCCTGACAAATGATTATAAACCCGGAGCTAATTCCTGCAAAGATGAAAACGGTAATCTGGTGATAGATGTCCAAAGCATGCTTAATATTTGGAGGGATCACTTCTCGAAACTACTAAATGGCGGTAGTAGCAATGTGACTGAAAGCGAAGATGATCCCGAATTTTCAATCGTTGACGATGAAATAATCGACCCGCCTCCCGACCATAATAAAGTTAAAACAGCTATAACGCGGCTCAAAAACAACAAAGCCGCAGGCGCCGATGGTTTACCGGCTGAGCTGTTTAAAGCTGATGGCGAAGAGCTATCAAAATAAATGCTACAGCTAATTCGCAACATATGGTCGGATTAATGCATGCCCAACGATTGAAATTTAAGTGTGCTTTGCCCAATCCACAAAAAAGGTGATCCTGCAAACTGCGCCAACTACCGCGGGATCAGTCTTTTAAATATCGCATATAAGGTTCTATCAAACGTACTATGTGAAAGATTGAAGCCAATCGTCAACCAACTGATTGGACCTTATCAGTGTGGCTTCAGACCTGGCAAATCCACTCTAGACCAGATATTCACAGTGCGTCAAATCCTGGAGAAGACTCAAGAAAAACAAATCGACACACACCACCTATTTGTCGACTTCAAAGCTGCTTTTGACACTACGACTAGAAGCACACTCTATGCCGCTATGTCTGAATTTGGTATCCCAGCAAAACTTATACGGCTATGTAAAATGACGTTGAGCAACACCACCAGCTCCGTTAGAATTGGAAAGAACCTCTCCGAGCCGTTTGATACCAAACGAGGTTTCAGACAGGGTGACTCCTTGTCGTGTGACTACTTTAACCTAACGTTGGAAACGATAATTCGAGCAGCAGATTTAAACCGTACTGGCACAATATTCTACAAAAGTGTAATGCTGCTTACGTATGCCGACGACATTGATATCATTGGTCTGAACACCCGCGTGGTTAGTGTGGCATTTTCCAACTTAGAAAAACAAGCAAAGCAAATGGGTCTTGTGGTAAATGAGAACAAAACAAAGTACTTTCTGTCAACAAACAAATCTCCTGAGCGTCGTGGGACCTACGTCACTGTTGACAATTATAAGTTCGAAGTTGTGAAAGACTTTATTTATTTAGGAACCAGCTTAAACACCAAAAATGACGTCAGCCTAGAGATTCAACGAAGAATTACTCTTGCCAACAAATGTTACTTCGGGCTAAGTAAGCAATTGAGAAATAAAGCCCTCTTTCGACAAACAAAAATCACGCTCTACAAATCCCTTATAATGCCTGTCCTGCAGTATGGTGCAGAAGCTTGGACAATTACCAACAGTGATGAGAAGGAGTTAGGAGCATTCGAGAGAAAAATTCTTCGGAAGATCTATGGTCCCTTACGCGTTGGCGACGAGCAGTGAACGAAAATAAACAGTACAGTATCGTAGTGTACTGCTCATGTCCGAAACACATCAAAAAATTTTTAAAGTTTGTGTCCGCGAACACAAACTTTATTTTTAGAGTTTGTGTACTTTTCACGAAAGTAGTGCTCATTATAACGATCTTTTCACGAAGGTAGTGCTCATTTTAGTTATCTTTTGCCGAAGGTAGTGGTCTTTTTAGTGATCATTTTCCTAAGGTAGTGGTTTTTTAGCGTTTGTCGAACAAAACGATTTGGAAACGTTTTTAATGTGCATTGTTGTTGCTTCGTTTGCATAAGAAGAAGAAAAAATTTTGTTTGCATTTGTATTGCATGTATTTTGTTTGTGTTTTTAAATAAAGATATTGCGTATGCATTTATTGATGCATATTTAATATTAGGGGATGAATTACATAGATTTAATATTTTATTGCGATTGAATGATTCGTATTATATTTATAATGCCAATAAAAGGCAAAAAAACAAAATTGCAAAATCGTTTTGTTCGACAAACGCTAAAAAACCACTACCTTAGGAAAATGATCACTAAAAAGGCCACTACCATCGGCAAAAGATAACTAAAATGAGCACTACCTTCGTGAAAAGATCGTTATAATGAGCACTACCTTCGTGAAAAGTACACAAACTCTAAAAATGGTTGAATTGTTTTGGACTTTTTTTAATGTACTGTTCGTTTAGTGTTTTTTAACAAAGATGACAAACAGTACACTATGTTTTGTACTTTAGTGTTTGTTTTCGTTCACTGGTTATAAGTGACTTTTTTTTGCAAAGTAAAAGTGAAAAGCGTTGCACCAAAGACTTAAGATGATTTACTTTGCACTTTGCAAATAAAGATTTCATTGCAGAGTCTGCATAAAATGCAAAGCAAAGCGTTGCACCAAAAAATTAGATCATTTTCATTTTGTATTGGTTTTTGAAAGCATTTCGTTTCTGTTTGTATATTTTTTTTTGTTTGTTTGATATTTTAATGCTATGAGTACATGATTTACGCATAGTATGTTTAAAATAAAAGTTTTTAAAATAATATTTTATTTTAATAATTTATAGTATTACAATTTGTAATATTTGTATAATTTTAGTACAATTATATGTTATATATTTATACAAAACACAAAATTTTTGTATATGATTTCTTTTATTGACATTGAATCGTAGATAAAGAAGTTGTGTATATCCATATATATTGTGTATATCCATTAAAAGCATTTTTATGCTTTTAATTTTTTTGCAGTTTGAAAAGTTATAAAAAAAGAATTTAAATGTAAAGAGTATGAGTATGAGTTGTTTTAACAACAATTATATTGAAAAACAAAGTTAACAAATATAATAAGTTGCTTTTATTTAAAAATTTAGTTGAAAATCTGTCATTCTTATTTAATTTTAAAATATTATAAGTTATTAAAGTATTATTTACTTGTCGCTGTGTATTATCCTGATACAAAAGAAACCTACGCATAAAGGGCCTAAATTACTGATTTTATTTAGAATATTTCTCTCAATTTATACAAAATTACCTTAAAACTTACTTAACTAATTTTACTAATTTTAGTGGACTGTATTATTTTTAATTACATTTCAAAGAAGGTTCAAAAAACGACGGAAATCGAGGCACTTGTGATTTTTTCTTCTATTGTCTTTAGAAATATATTTTTATTATCATAATTAGATACGGATAATTAGATATTTAAAAATGTTACAATGTTAGCTATTATAGGATATTTTTTACCCATGTTTTTTCTTAGTTCATAATTCGGAAAATTTGAACGATAACAGACTTATAATAATAATAAACTGTTCATTATAATAAATAAATGTTCATGCTTGAACAATAATTCACATAAAATATATATATATTAAATGTATTATAAAGTTTTTTTAGAAACTGAACTCTTTAATTTACAATTTAAAAGTATTGTCCGGTAATATATCCCTTTAATTATTGCAACTAAATTTATTTCAAAAACAGCAATAATATTTGTTTAAACTAATTTTCTATTTCTATTTTTTTAAAACTATTTTTATTTATTTATTAATGATTTCTTTCATTTTACGCATT